CCATTCATGCAAACTGTAGCATCATGCTACATAAGACAATAAATAAGATTTATATTCCGCTTTTACTCAAAACTCACTTTAAACCACCATCGAGTGTTTGTAATAACTTCCGATTGCCGTCTAATGTGTGTTTTGGCCATGTAATGTTGCTGAAATTAAATATGTTATTACCTCTGAGTCAGAGCAGTGATCATGGAAGATAAAACACAGGCAGACAGCGCTGGAAGCTGCTAATGCTCATCAGTAAATCAGTGGAAAATGAATAGAAATCATGATTCTGTCTGAGCTATGCGTTTTAAGATGAACACGCACTAGTGTAAATGTAGGCTAATAGATGTGTAAACTGAAGACTATTTGAGCTTTATTAAAACTATTTGCACTGATTTATTGTGTTGGTTACGTTTTGTTCCTTTGTGCAGTGGCTCAGGAGATGAGTCTTTGAGTTTGTATAAACATCAACAAGCTGAAAAATAAAACCAAAGTTTTTTTTTTAGATAATGTAATCTTGTTCAAATTGATTTCATAAATTTTGGTATCGGAAAAAGTATCGTTCAGGAACCGGTATCGAAGTCAAGGTATCGGTATCGATATCGAACATTTTTGAACGATACCCAGCCCTACCAAGGATATGATACATTAAAGATACATATGAAATGGCTACCGATGCGATACAATTCACCCGTTACGATGCAGTGCGGTCCGATATCGATTCGATACAACACAACACAATGCGATTCAATGGAAAAAATATGATGCTATGCAATTCAGTATGATACAGATAGTTTGCTTTTATTTCTTTGGTTCAGACAGACAGCCATGATGATCTATTATCTGTGTGACTCTCAGGACACGCCTCGGTCTCCATAGCGTTGTGATGCATCATATTCACCTAGCAGCAGTGGTGATGAGAGAACGCGCTTGAGAAACAGTCTAGAGAGGAGAAATCAGTCTACATATAAAATATCGGTCACACATTATTGGTCACTTTCTAAATAATAAAAGTATAGCACATCCACTAATAATTATATATAAATAAATTGTTTTTTACTGATTCAAATATGTTAGAAATGATGCATCGTGATACAAATTCCAACTTGTATCCAATGCACACTTTTTAAAAAAATCAATACATCAATCGCATCGTTAACTTTTATGGTGATTCACTGATGCGACTCGGTCAATCTTACCATCCCTAACTCTTCTAAATGCTGCTCCCAGCAATCCAGCCAGTGTCCCTAAAAGTTATCTAAAAGCTCAAATGTTTCCTAAAAGTACACTCAGGTATTTCAAACTTCTTTTTAGCCCCTATGTCAGGGGTGGCGAACTCCGGTCCTGGAGAGCCGCAGCCCTGCAGAGTTCAGCTCCAACCCTAATTAAAACTCACCTGCCTGCAGCTTCCTAATAACCCTTCAGACCTTGATTAGCTTGTTCAGGTGTGTTTGATTAGGGTCGAAGCAAAACTCTGCAGGGCTGCGGCTCTCCAGGACCGACGTTCGCCACCCCTGCCCTATGTGAAGGATAAAAAACCTTTGTGCTTTTTTTGGAGTACAGCCCCTCCACAGAAGAAATAAAGTCATATTTTCGGCACAACATGAGCAAGAATAAATAATGAGAGAAATGTAACTTTTAGGTCAGTTATTCCTTGAAGCACTGGATATCTGATCAATAAGTTCTGAAATGTTGCACTGATCTATAGTCAGCCTTTCTTGTACTTTATCTCCTAACATAATTGTTCGGATCTCTCTGTACAGGATGTTCCTGTTTTCCAAAGCTGCTGCTCAAGAGCAGTCAGTTGGGCGTTCCTGTACGTGCTCTGCTGCGTTTGAGTCCTCTGCTCCTTCAGAAACAAGATTCTAGAGTTTAACCCACCAATTCCTGGAGGTCAACCAACCTTCTGCTTATCCAGGTACCGCAGGGTTATGGTTGCCTTGTCCTCACAGGCCACAGGAACCTGCTGCAAGATTTATTATGTGGACATTTTTATCACATGATTGTGTCTTTGAAGTGCTGGAGAAACAGGTTTGCTCACCCCTATTTTGACATGTAAATAGTTTGTAACTATATTTGTACCTATGATAATTCAGTCAATAAATATGACTTGAGGAAATGGTTTTCATAAAGTATGCCTGGCTTGTATTAAATACTTGTAAAAATACTTGTTCTGGTATGGTTTTGTCAGTTTTGCAGGGGATTTTTTTTTTTTATTTGGCCAAGGCAAGCATTACTATTAAGGGGCTTTCACACATGCAACAATTACTCAGTTGGCGGATCCAACACTGGCAATCTTCATATCATGTCACTGCTCATTTGCATAGGATTTAGCTGTCAACTGCTTGGAAATCAATAATTCTCATAATAAAAAAAGAATGACTTACAGTCACTTCTTTGGTGCAAATCATTGTATATGCGAACGCCCCTTTACTATTGCTCATACTTAAGATTAGGGGTTTAAGTCACTAAACATAAGTATTAAACTTTGTCACAATAACTGCACCAGGACATGAATGATTGCTCAAATTTCAAATCATGCATCTTGTTGAGGAGAGGTTTGCTGTTGCTGTTAACTAAAACTTTTTTTTTTTGAAATTCGTAATTGAAATAAAGCTGAAATAAGATAAAATGTAAATATTAGATGAAAAGCAAAACGTAAAAATTTGAAATGTTGCTTTGGCAGCTAACTGAAATCAAATTAAATTTAAGTTGAATTACTAAAATTACTAAAACTGGTATTAATTAAAAGTATATAGAAAACCAGTATATAAAAACAAAAAACAATAAAAATGATGAAAGCACAAATCAAATAATTATTAAAACTTTAACTAAAATGAAAATAAAATATAAACATAAAAGCTAAATTCAAAATATGAATGCGTGTGTATAAATAATAAAATATTTTTTGTTACTTATTTACTCCGTACCCACTGTATATATATATATATATATATATAGTATTTATTAATACTATTTTTTTTATAATAATTGGTTAATTATTTTTATAACAACTATTTTTCTTTAGAATCTTGGTTACTTTACTAACTGATTATTATAGCCTTATTTTTTTTCACCTGGTGGATCCTGTGTACTCCTATAGAGGGATCCTGAGTCATATGTAGAGCTTAGAGTCTTTAGGGAATTGGGCCAGTAAACAACCACCCAGTGCACATAGGGCGTCATGATGACATGTTTTGCATGGGCATCCACCGTTCACATTTCCATCAGGAAATGTAAAAATCTTGTTTGCATATGTTCTTTTCTTCCACATGGCTCTTCTGTCTTTCCCCTTATTTACTGTAGCTCAGCAAAACTAGTATCATGCGAGCATTCCTGTATAAATGACAACCACCCCACTGCCAGGAACACATCACCTCACACCCTCTCACATTTCACACTATTTGAATAGCCACGTTGCTGTTTAAAATAGCTCGGGCTGTACTGTGCTTTGAATACTGCTTTCAGTTACTGTGTAACTATTTTACTGAACTAAACCACACTGAAGTGAAAGTTCTGCTGAAACTCCTGCTGTTAAAAAAATGTAAAGTGATAGAAACTTCATGTGAAGTCAGAAGACTTGCGTAGAAGCCATAAGGATATGAGACCCTTTTTGGTTCACATTTTTAAAGGGTAATATGACCAGTGATTTCATTTTCTATTCATGGGTTTCTTCAGAAAAATGGAGAAATGGAAACTGAAAGCACAAATGGAGAAAACTGGCCTCTTTTCATACAGTGTATAGTTTCAACGGCTACCAAGATCTAAAAAGGCCTAAAAAAAGCACCATCAAATTAGTCCTCATGACTTGTGCATTTCCAAGTTTCCAAGTATTCTGAAGTCATGTGATGTTTTGTGTGAAGATTATTAGTTTTTCACTGAAAATCTTCCCCTTCACTGCAGTACTTAAAGGGATAGTTCACCCAAAAATGAAAATTCTGTCATTAATTACTCACCCTCGTGTTGTTCCAAACCCGTAAGACCTTCGTTCATCTTCGGAACACAATTTAAGATATTTTTGATGAAATCTGAGGGCTCTCTGACCCTCCCATAGACAGCAAGGTAACTACCACGTTCAAGGTCCAGAAAAGTACCAAGATGATCGACAAAGTAGTCCGTGTGACATCAGTGGTTCAACTGTAAAGTTACGAAGCTGCGAGAATACTTTTTTGCGCAAAGAAAACAAAAATAACGACTTTATTCCACATTTTCATCTCTACTGCGTTGCTTGTGGATGCGTGTTCACGACAGTATCATGACGTGAGCGTGTGGCGGCGCTGACCCAGATCCGGCGTAATGACGCCACACGAAAATGTGGAATAAGGTCGTTATTTTTGTTTTCTTTGCACATGTTGTCTATTAGTTGTCTATGGGAGGGTCAGATCTTAATTTGTGTTCCGAAGATGAACGAAGGTCTTACGGGTTTGGAACAACACGAGGGTGAGTAATTAATGATAGAATTTTCATTTTTGGGTGAATTAACCCTTTATAGTTTTTCTCAATGGCTTTGGCACATTTTTCGAAATGGTCTTAACATTCTCTAAACTGTGAGTGCATAGGTCACAACTGTTTGCTGGAATTTCAGAACTTTATTGCATGTCTGCAAAATGTAGTTACTCACCCAAAAAAATCTGATATTTGTTGAGAAGAGTCAATAGTACATAGAAAAAGAAAAAAGTATATGAACATTTGTATTTATACAGTACATTTATTTTAGTACGAATGTACTACATGTAAAGTGAAATCTTGCTTGTCCAATTACTGTACATTTCATATGATTGGTTAAATGGTTGAATGGTTGATTCAAATTGTATTGCAATTAGAGGTCATTTGCCAATTTAGCAGACATTACAAACAATGTCAATGTCAGATATTTATGGAATATACATGCGTGTATACCAATTTTTCATAATTGAATGGATCGTTTTGAATGTGATGGCTTACACGATGAAAAATGATTGAGAAGTTGTGAAGAGTTTGACAGTTTAGACAGTGAGAATCGGCTCATCAGTTTTGATCAACAAGCCATATGCAATTAGTTGTTGTGCAAACTGCAGACAATTGTACTTACTGTTTGCACACATGTGCCAAAGCATTTGCAATTTGCTCAAATCAATAAGAAATTCCAATCTGATGTGAACAAGAAGCTAATTGTTCAGAGATCTGAACTTATTGTTTTGGGAAAAAAAAATTTAATTCGAGAATTGAACCAAAGCAATTGAGAAAAACTGTAAATCTCATTTGTGCTTACATGCATTTCTGTAAGGTTTGACATCAAACAGCATTCGTTTTCATGTAGTTAGGTTAAAATATTAGTTGAAATTTGTTGAAAATGTACTCACCCTCAGGCCATTCAAGATGTACACTAGTCAACATTTGAAATGGATCAAAAAAAGTTCATCAAAGTTGTCCTAAGACAAGAACGCTTTTAGGTTTTAGGACAACTTTGATGAACGGTTTTGATCCATTTCAAATGTTGACTAGTATAGATGAGAACAGGGAAACGTGTCATTACATTACTTGCTCACCAATGGATCCTCTGCAGTGAATGGGTGCCTTCAGAATGAGTTTCCAAAGAGCTGATAAAAACATCACAATAATCCAGAAGTAATTCACATGATTCAACTTTTAGTTTCTCCAAAAAGTCTTAGAAATATGCACAGATCAAGTGCTATTCACAAGCGGAAATGGTTCAAAACAGTCCAAAACAAATATGCTGGTGGATTTTGATGTGAGAGACAACAGGGCATGGTCTTTTTCACTGGAAGAAGTGTTATTATGAATTATGGACTTGTATTTTGGCCAAAAGCGACAGTTTAAAGATGGGCTGGCGTGGATTACTGTGATGTTTTTATCAGCTCTTTGGACTCTCATTCTGACGGCACCCATTCACTGCAGAGGATCCATTGGTGAGCAAGTGATGTAAACTCATCTAAATCTTGAATGGCCTAAATTTTATTTTTGGCTGAACTATTCCTTTAATAGTTTAGCGAATGTTTTAACAAATGTTCCATACAGTCTCTCATTATTTAGTCTTCATGCATAATAATGTTAAAATTGTACGCTTATAATAGCTTTAGATGGAATATATTGTCATGTCATGCCAGCTATCCAACTGTAGTTGACTAACCAATGCTGGAGTGCATTTTATAACAGGTCACCAAGCCTCATTGTTCATTGGGCTGATGCATCCTGGAATTGTTAAAAAGATTGTTTTATCCAGGCAACTGAAGTCACTTTGTCCAGGAGTTAACTGGGACTCTCTCACTCACACATGAATGTAACTTGCCAAGTTGGAGTATGTAAAAGTGTGAATGAGGTTTGAGAGCTGCAACAATGGGGGAAGTAAGTAACTTAAATCCATTGTGAACTTTCTGTGCCATTATTGGCGACAAAAAGTAATGGTTTCAAACACTCTCCCAGTCTACCAAACCAATGCTGCTGCGTCGGACCAATCAAACACAAAGATTGGAAACCCATTTGGTGGCACAGAAATGGCACACTACAGCTTTAAATTCCCAGTTGTTAGTTTGGAGTGCACCACTTGGACTTAAAGCATATTCAAAGTTTCATACCCTCTCTTAGCTTCTCTATACTACTTCCTGTGTGGTTGGGAGTATCTTAAAGGGTGACTGGGCATCGGTATGCCAGTGACTTGTTCAGGAAACCCATGCTATGTGATTCTGCCCATGCTCTTTGATCAGAAAAACTCTTGTGAATGTGTGTGGTGAGTGTTTGAACGCTTCATTTCTACTCCGTTCCCTCTGAATGAGCTCAGTTCGAGTTAAACGTCGTCCCAGAAGGCTGTGCAAGCTTTGGGAGGCCACGTATAAAGTCTAGATGAAGGAAATGTGCCCTGAAATAACCGCTGCTCACGTGTCTGGACATTCCTGAACAGTGACGCCTGTGATTACTGAACCTTCAATCATGAGAGCTGTACCGAATCTGGAGAACAACAGACATTTGAAGATTATTTGTGAGGTTTGGGAAAGGTTAACATGAATCTTCTTTAAAGAGTTTTTATATCGTGCCCCAGTTTTTGACTGTCACTCTGTTCATGTGCATTTCAGGAAGGAAGGCAAACTTCGAGACCAGATGTGGGATGTTTGGAATGTGAAA